ATGAGAGCGAGAAAGAGAAATAGACCAACGAAAAGATAAACTGACAGAAAAAAAACAAACTACAGAGAGAAACAAGCAGAGCATCAAACGAAAGGAGACAAAATAAACAGTTCTGGCTGGTTTGATACAATGGTTTTTTTTATTGAGAATCAAAGGTGAGAGAATGAGAACAATTAACACTGTAGTACGAAAAAAAGTTGTAATTATTTTATGTATTGAAAATATGCATTTGTATTTTTGCAGCTTTTATTATTTTATTATTTTATTTTTTAGGATCGGATCCCTCAAATTTTGGATGCAAAATTTTAATATTTTGAAACTGAAATAAACCGACTGTCTTAAAATGGCCTTTCAAATACATAGGCCCACACAAATGTCATCCGTTTAAAAAAGGACGAATATGAGCATTAAAAGGACGAACACCGTAAGTATAAAATTTATATAAGATATATCTCTCAAAAAGTTATTCTATTTCTAGAAGACCTTTAGAGGAATGTTAATTTACAACCCTTGTAAATATATCTCCTCAACATACAACTTAAAAATACTCCCTTATATAGAATACGGAATACAAATACTTCTAGATATTGTCTAAATGGTATTCTACGTCAAGAGTACCTCTGGAAGGGTATCTATTTATAGATAGTTTTCTAGGAGGATACCTTCGGAAATACTTCTATCTATAAATGTCCTTTAGAATTTTTGTCATAAAAACATCTAGGAAGTCTTCCTCAATAAAATGATTTTTTTTTTCTATAAGTCAGCTTTAAAAACTTCTAAATATATTATTCCTCTAGAAGTACTCTTATCTATAGAACGTCGTATTTGTATAGGAATCAAAATATATCTATAGTAGTATAAGTCCCTCTACTGAAATCATCTACAACTTTGACCATCTATAGTAGACTTTCAGATCTATAGTAGACATTCAGATGGTCTTCAGTAGATTACCGCTAGGGGTCGCATACTTAAAAGTTGTTATTTGTATTCGTAGTTCTTGAAATTCCCTAGAAATTTGTCCGAAAATACAATTTTATTAGGCATTTGATTATTGATAGGAACTCGATTATAAAGAGAGCACTTTTTGAAGTTCGCCCAGCGATAAAATACTCATAGATACTCAATATTTACAAGGTCTTTGATTTATGTTCTATTTTCGAAAAGCCTATTTATTAATCAAATATTTATCCTCCATCTCCAGACAACCTAAAAGCCAAATATTGAATTTTAACGACATTGCCTTTTCTTTGGTGTTTCATTCTACATATTTTCATTCCATTATTGTATATACATATATATTTAAAATGTAATCACATATTTTACCTTAATTGAGCAAACAGATTTTCTAGTCTACAGGAAGGTTTGTCTTTTTTGCTACCAACGCAAAGCACTTCCTTCATATTCTAGATTCGTTGTTTGATTTTGAAGCTACACAGAATCCATTAAGCAATGTTGATTCCCCAACCTCCAACAACATAGGTATTTCAACAAAATGTTAACTCAAAAAAAAAATCTAAATTAAATATGCATAGAAATTACACGTACATACACAGCTATCTCTGGAAACAATTTTGCCAGGATTTCTTCTTGTTTTTATCCAATATTCCATTTGAAGAATATTACAAAGTAAACATTTTAAAATGAGCCACGTTTGAGCATTTGTGGGTTCATGTTTGAGTTGACTTTCTGAAACGCCAATAGCTATGCAAAACGCTTATGTGATTTCTTTTTTTTTAGAATGGAAAAAAAGAATGTCAGGACTATCTATATATGTACGTATGAAACCTTCGTTAATTAAATTTCAATTAGACTAATCACAATAGGATAAAAATACCAACGAATTTAAAAAAGATCAACAACTGGAATAACGTTAACAAAAATTGTTATAAAATAAAACTCCCACATAGGCGCCCACATATTTCCTGCTAACATCCAAGAGAAGGACACAAGCTTTCAACCTTTTCAGAGACACGAAAAAAACCCAAAACTTGTTAATTACTGTAAAAATGCCAACTCAAAGGAAACTCTTGAAAACAAATTCTTAATTTTTCGTGGAATTTTTCTTACTAAATTTTTTCATGAATAACATTATCGTAAATGTCAGCAAATGGACAAAGTCTGACGGTTATTTTTAATATGGTAGGTAGGTAAAGAGTGAATGAGTCTAACAAGGAATAAAATGCCTTTGAATCTAAACCGAGTGGAGGAGAATACTACTCTCCTTTTTATCATTTCGTCAAAATATGAGATAAACCCTGAGTTTTCTGGGCTGATCATTCGAGGTTTTATTTAGAGAAATTACAAAGAGGAATAATGCCAACACATATTCTTAAGCCTGAGTAATCCATGTTACCGCTCTAATTATTCAGAATTATTCGAAATCAGTACTTGAGAAAAACTTCCAGTAAATTATCCTTTGTCTTCAGGGAGAATAGTCAACATTTTGTCTATTCACCATCTAATTACTTAATTTTTAGCACCTCAAAGTATGTAAATCCAAAACAATTTCAAATATAAAAGAGCTCTATAAAACACCTCGAATTTATAATTGAAATCCTTTTTGTAAATCTATTACTCTTGTGATAAATAAAAAAATAATTCAAATAAAATGTTCACCAAAAGAAAATCTGCACCAACATTTTTGTTAAGTCATAACATTTTAGGATTTTGTTTTTAGTTAGGATTCGTTCTATATATGTGGGGTAGGCTTTAGTCCTGCGCGCCTAAAACTATGCAAATTGTTGTGCTAAATTGTGGGCACACATATAACACCAGCAGCATAACACACATGCATCCTTCATGTACACACCGACATACACATATCCATGTACACAACAAACACTTGAAAAGGAACGAACACAAAAAAACATAATTCACTGAATAAGGAGAACGAACAAAAAGCTTGAGTTTTCATCTCTGCCAGGGACACATACCAACCGAACAAAAAAAAAAATAAATAAAAATAAAGGAACAAAGAAGGACAACATAAAATCATAAAATAAAACAAAGAAAGAAAATCATAAAAGTAACCGGAAAACACGTTTTTTTTTTCTAGAGGAGAAAGAAACTTTTTTCTTCTCTGGACCAAAAGTAGACATTTCTTAATTACAGCAACGCCTTAAAGTAGGCTACAAACAATTAATACAACTCTTATATGGGATTCAATTGCTTGAATAAATATTTTTGTAGGTATATTTTAATTACTTTTTTCCGTTTAATCCACATGGAAAATTGTTCACTTTTATCTGGACTTCTTTTTTATTTGTTTGTTGTTGTTGTTGGTCGATAGATATTTTGTAGTAAAGTTGCCGTTTCTTCCGTTTAAAAATTCTTCCGTATCTATTTCAATTGTTTCACTCTTTATATTTTCGAACTGCGCTGCGTATGAAAGTTAAACAAGAACTGAATTCATTTTCGGTGACTACCTGAGCTCAAAGGCCTCTTTAATTAGCCGAATGCATTCTCTTTACGTAATCAAATGCTCTCTTTGTGTTCTCAATGTGAATTAGAGAGCGAAAGCTTTTGCTGCTGGTGAAGGTGAAAGCTTGAAAGTTAGCTAACATTTCAATGTGAATTTGGACCGTTACTCGGATATTTCTTCATTCCATCTTATTCTAAACATATTTTCTTGGAATTGAAATTAAATTTATAACGGGCCCAAGCACCGAACTCTCACACAAATAAATCAACTGAATAAAAAGCAATTTCTGAAGTTTTTATGAATCTATAGGTTTTGGAGGGTTTATAGGTATACCGAAGTATATATATATATACAAATTTTAATTATATTCTAAAACCTCTGTAGGCCTATTCTGTAAATCTTATCGACATTGTTTTTATTTCCTTTGTTATTGTAAAAACAAACCAATAAAATTGTTTAAAATAAGTCGATATTTACAAAAAAAAAAATAGGTTTTAGGGCATGTCAGCAAAAAATAAATATCGAACTTAAAAAAGCTTAATTTTCACGTTTTCCATGTTATTGTTTCCATGTCTTGTGTTTTTATTTTGTCTGGCATTAGACAATGACATTTGTAAGGTTGCCCTTAAATGAATTTACTCAAATCTCTTCCGTTACTAAAACCTTAAACAGAACGGAAATAAAATTGGACTTTCTCATCTAGCAAATTTCAAAAACGTTTTCGACCATGTGAACTATTTTAATCCAATTTGCAGAATTGCTGCTAATTCAATTTGTATAAGGTAACATAATATGAATATATAAGAAAAATGAAATGGAAATAAGGGGAATACAGAAAACAAATTAAAAACAATTGCATCTATCGTTCCAATTAAAACAATGGGAATATCAAGGAAAATTATAATTATTTTTTTAATTCTATTTATTAATTGGAATAAAATAATTTTCATAATGACTTATTATTTGTTTTGTTACAATCTCATCAATGTAAATGAGATTAAAAAGATAATTATAAGTTTTATTTCGGATAAACAAGTTTTATACAATTTGAATTGTGTTTCTAACTCAATTAATTCATTTTCTCAGATATTCCTTTTAACTTTAACATAATCTGAAAAATTGATATTCTTTAGCGTAGGATTATAATATGCTATGGTTTCCATTGATTATTGTCTTAAATGTATTGAGTTCATGACAATTGGCACTAAAGAAGACCTTGACATTGGTCATTTTGTTATGGCTTCCTTATGTCGTTGGGATTTCGCAAAAGCGAAAGTTAAATGTCAATGATATGGTGTGTTGTTATGGAATTCTATGGTTTTATATCTGTTTTTGAAGTGTTTTTTGTAGTGTATGTTTTTTGTATATTTACAAATTAAACTTTTTTATTTAAGCCTAAGAAATAATAAAAAGACTCGACGAATTACATTATTTTCAATTTATTTCAATTTTTAATCATTTTATTAAATTTAAACCATAATTAAAACCATCAAATATTTAAGCCTAAGAAATAATAAGAAGACTCGACGAATTACATTTTTTTCTAAAGATCAACTTTATTTTATACAAATATAACAGTATATATATAACATAAATTTTAAGCACTACGAATCTTCTTGCGTTCCCTATAGACACAATCCTTTTGAACTGAAAGAAAGAGTTAAGAAATAAACAGTTATAAATGTAACATTTCTATAAGATTAATAAATAATATTAAATCATTATCTAAATATATTTTCAGACTATATTCCAGCCGATTACTATAACATCAACCAAGAATGACAAGCTTCCATAAAATTAAAGGAATGGTGGAGTCGAGTCAGGAAGGGAGAATTTAATTGTCATAACCTCCTCATCTATACGAATGGTGTAATTATGTATATTATTCCAAAAAATGTACGTATAGACCTATTTTTGACTACGTATTATCGTCAATGAAATATATTTTTTAGCAGAACAGACAACGAATTGTAATTTCAGAAATTGCTTATTGCTAGAATATTATTCCGGCATTTCAGTATCCTAAGACATAATAAGAGGTGTCCACAAAGGGAAAATATTGTCCAACTTATTATAAAAACCCTTGCAGTGAATGAATTTTGTTCGATTTAGAATCATTAGTATTCGAACTCACTATGCATAAAAATAGAAACGGCAGAATTATCCATTCGATTGTTAAAACTGGCAGCAAAAAAAGGAAAGATACATATATATAAGTTTATTCTATAAAATGTCCCCAAAAGAAATTTATTTCCCGAATTATTGTAAATAACCACGCCATGTATAAAAAAAATACTAGGTTTAGAACCACAAGCGTAAAAACTCATTCCACAGAAAAATAATTCTTATTTCTGGGAAATAAGTAAATGTTTATAGACAATAGACGATTTCAGATCGTTCTGAAATATATGATGAAGTTGTTCTCAATGCACCCGAGTTACCCTTATGTAGCTGGCAGGAAAAATTGGTAAAAATGTGTAAGTATTCCACTTCTTTCCATTACTGAATGAAGAATCAGTAGAAATTTATAGACAGTATATGATTTCAGATATCTTTTAAATAAATGAAGGAGTTGTTCTCAATGCACACGAGTCACCCTTATGTAGCCGCCAGAAACATTTGTCTTATTCGTAAGCATTCAATTCCTTCCCATTGCTAGATGATAACATTTACGTATATCTCTTCCGAATTAATAAATGCTATTGTTTATATCTTCCATTTGATTATACTTACTAAAGGGATCGAAACGTATGCATTCAATTTTGTCCGACAATCGGTCACGCACGGTATTGAATTTATGGCCACTGACCACACTCTCAACAACAACCATGATGCGCCTAATAAAAATTATGAATAAAATACGTATTATTTCGGGCCAAATCAATTATAAATACCACAATACATACTTGCTCTTGACTTTTTTCAATAAAACGTTTGTCAAACGCATTGTGTTCTGTATTTAATATTTTATATTCCTTTTAGTTGATTTTGGTTGTGCAAGAGAATGTTTGTGGTTTTTGACGTTTAACAAGGGATGGCAAATTATTGATAACTCAATTGATTTTATTGTGACAATTTCGATTGTTGCTAACTATCGAAATATCGACACACAAATTTCTCTGTGCTCCCTCACACTGGGTTACCATACAATGATTCCCATGATTTTTTATTTGTATTTTATATATTTCAGAAGTATTGCCTGTTTCTTTTTTGTTTACGGGAACATATACACAATCTTTGATAAAACATCTATCTTTGATTCAGGAAGCCACATACAATTGTTCCAAAAATCGAACTACTGTCCCCATCTACCATCGTATCCATTCACAATAGATTGCACGTGCCAGTTGTGAACAGACTTGCTTCCAGTTACAGTTATTCATTTGTTTGTTTTCCAAGGAATTCCACCAAAAATCGTATTCCTAAGGTATGTAGCGCCAACAATGGATCCATACGCCGACCATGTCAATAAACAATTTGAAAAATTAGATAGTTTTGCAACGAATTTTACCAAAACTTTTATTCCCATAGTTGATTCTGCACTAAAAATGTCAACAGAAGAAGGCGTCGTATCGGCTTTTCAAGTTTTTCAAGCGGCAAAACAAAGCAAAAAGTCGAAAAACTCAAAGAAATCGACAAAAACTCCTTTGAATGGTAGCACAGGAAAGAAGTTAGCAACGAAGCCAACTGCTGGCAAGCAACACAGTGTGAGTAAAGCATTCAAGAAGAACGAGGAGCTGAAAGCCAAAAGTCACAATCATGTGGAGTCTAGCCAAAGTGTAGGTGGTGCAGTATCCAAGAAGAACAAGGACAAGACAACAAAACACTATGATGGTAATCCTAACGAGCAACCAAAGAAACAAAAGGCTGAACCCAAAAAGAAACCACAACTGCAGGAGTATTTGGTTAAACAGCTGGAAAAGGATGTAGAAGAAAATCCATCAGATGATGATGATGATGACTTCGATAGTGAAGATATGGGCAGTGAAGAATATAGCTACACTGAATCTGATGAATTTTCCAACGAGTATACAATTAATGAAAGTGGAAGTTTTTCTGAAGATGAAGAAATGGAGGGCGATGACTCATTTGAGTATGATGTTCCATCCAAAAATTCAAATAAAGACAATAGGAAACGTAAAAGTCCAGAACCCACTACCCAAAGCAAAGCCAAAACACCAGCCAGCAAATTAAATGGCGAAGTTTTACAAACCAAAAAGTTGAAAACGTCCGATCACCCAGATCGTAAATCTCTACCAGACACAAAACATCAGAAAGCAACTTCCTCGGCTGAAGAAAATAAACGCAGAAAGTCGATAGCAACTGTCTCAACTGTCAAAGACAAATCTCAACAATTAAGAAAAGTCTCCATAACCTCGGTAGATGTTAAACTGGAACCATTATCTCCGCCGCACAATGTGGCTAAGGTCAGCAGTATTGATGAAGGAAAGCGGGCTTTCCAGTGGTTATTAAATCCTGTCTCTGTGGATGAGTTCTTCAAAAAGTATTGGGAAGCCAAGGCTTGCCTGATCAAGCGCAAACAATCCAACTACTTTTCTCATTTGATTTCCTTTGAAGCCATCGATGAAATGCTCATAAAGAATCATGTGGAATTTACCAAAAATTTAGATGTAACATCCTATAAAAATGGTATGTATTAATTAAGAATATATGCCGAGACACATATCTAAGCAAATTTTTCTTTTGTTTTTAGGCGTTCGTGAGACATTAAATCCAGAAGGGCGTGCTATGCCTCCTGTTGTTTGGGATCACTACGGTCAGGGTTGCAGTATTCGCTTGTTAAACCCCCATACATTTTTGCCCCAGTTGTTCACGCTTAATACAACTTTACAAGAATATTTCCATTGCTTGGTGGGTGCCAATGCCTACTTGACACCACCAAATAGTCAAGGATTTGCTCCCCACTATGACGACATTGAGGCATTTGTGTTACAAATTGAGGGTCGAAAACGCTGGAAGTTGTATAAACCACGTTCGTCAGGGGAAATTCTGCCCAGAGAATCTTCCCGCAATTTTACACAGGCTGAGATTGGAAAACCCATCTTGGAGGAGGTAAATTTTGCTAAATTTCTAAACATATATTATTTGCTAACATCTTGTGTCTTTATGAAGGTCTTAGAACCAGGTGATGTTTTGTACTTCCCTCGTGGCACTATTCATCAAGCATGCACAGAGCCAGGCTATCATTCCTTGCACATTACGCTGAGTGTATATCAGAAACAATCATATGCTGATTTGTTTGAGAAAATGCTTCCGTTGATGCTTAAAAAGGCTATAGCTGACAATGTTGAAATGCGACGAGGTCTGCCTTTGAATACTTGGCAACATGCTGGCATTGCTTACAGTGACAATTCTACAAAAGAACGTGTCGATTTGCAAAGGAATGTCAAACAACTTTTGCACAAATGCATTAGAGATATGCCATTGGATGACTTGGTCGATGCAGCAGTCGATCAAGTCGCCAAGAAGTTCCAACATGAAGCTTTGCCTCCAGAGGTCCTGCCATCGGAACGTACACGTACAGTTTTCGGTTCACGCAATCGTACCAATGAACGTGGCGAATGTGTCTGTGACTATGATATTGATGAGCGCACCAATGTCCGTCTATTAAGGGCCAATATTATGCGTCTGGTGGATGAAGAGGAAAAGATACGCATCTATTATTACTTGGACAATTCTAAAGAGTACTGTGAGTATGAACCCAATTTTATAGAAATTGAACCAATGGAGGCTGCCAGTGTTGAGGTGTTAATAAAAAGCTATCCACAATACATTGGAGTGTCACAATTACCCTTGCCCAGCGATGAGCAGAAAATAAATCTAGTTACTGCTTTGTGGGAGCGAGGTTTACTTATGATGGAAAAACCATTTAAATAATTACTGAATTTAATTCCAAACCCATTGATTGTTTAAAAAGTCTGTTAGTCATTAAGATTTGTTAATTTTTTCTTCCTTTTTAATTTTTAATAATAAAACTAAAATTTGTCTAAATGAAAAATTAAGTGATCATCCACAAAACTCGATTTAAACAAAATAAACAAATATGAAAGAATATTTTTTTGTTTTCGATTATAGTTTATTGCTTAATTGTATGACTATAAATGTTGTATTAATTTCGTATAGAAATGGTAATAAGTATGTGTGTGTTTAAATATTTATATAGGTGGCAGTTGGTTATTTATTGTAAGCTTGTTTTGCAATAGCACGCAAAGATTCGGCACCATCACCAGTAGCATCAACCATTCGACTTAAATGCCCTTGGGGATTTTGCAACAAAATATGTGGGGCATCGTACTCAATTTTCCTTCCGGCATCCAGAACTAGAATTCGATCAGAATCCATTACAGTTTTCAAACGGTGGGCAATAGTCAATACCGTACACGTTTTGAATTCATTGCGAATTGTATTTTGAATTAACGAATCAGTGCTGAAATTATTTTAACATTTATGTAAATGGTGGCGCAATATTCAGACCTCTGCTTCTTACCTTTCATCTACATTGGCTGTGGCTTCGTCCAAGACTAGTATTTTATTTTTACGCAAAATCGCACGTGCCAAGCAGAGTAATTGACGCTCTCCGATACTAAAATTATTGCCAGATTCTGCCACCTCATCGTCCAACTTCAATCTGTCAAGGCCAGCCTAAAAAATCGAAAAAAAAATAAAATATGGAATAAAAATGGCTTAGAACAAATTCAAAATATACCTTTTCTAATGCTTTTAGTAAGTCTCTCTCATTATCTTCATATTGATTGAAGGGATCCAGATTGTAACGTATTGTACCCTTGAATAAAACTGGTTGTTGTGGTATAACCGAAATTCTGGAACGTAATGTATGTATGTCAATGTCCGCACAGTTTTTGCCATCAATAAAGATATGTCCTTCGAGATCATATAGTCGAAATAAAACTGAAATCAACGATGTTTTTCCAGCTCCGGTACGACCCACAATGCCTATTTTCCATGTGGGGGAAACAACAAAATTTAAATTCTTCAAAATCGGTTCGCCATTCTCTTTGTATTTTAATGAGACGTCGTTGAAGTGAATTTCTCCAGCAGATGGCCAATTTTCAGGATTCAGTTTATTAACATTCTTTTCAACATTATCCAATTTAGTATAGGCCAAGATTCGTTCAACACTGGTCATTTGTTGGAACGATTCACCCAGTTGCCTTAGGCCATATTGGACCATGCCTGTTAACATCATGGCTTGAGTTATTGCCAAACCTACATTTCCACTATACGTCCCTGTAAAACGAGAAATATATTTCTGTTATTCTGTTACGCCCGACTTATTACCAGCAAAACTTACCATAATTGAACAGAATAAAAGAGAATGTAACCGAATTGAGGAGTATACAAACATTGGCAGAATCCAGCCACAAACCTAGGGCGGTGTTGGATGTCAGTGTCAGGTGATATGCGGCACTATGGAGATCTTGAAGTTTATCGAATTCTTCAATCATTGTTTGTTGGAGATTGCGCGAACGTATTGTGGACAATCCGCTCAAGCACGCTGAGACATGAGAGAAAACTGGACTGCGGCGTATACCTTCCAACCGCTTGAGATCTTGTGAAGCACGTAAATACAACTTAATTATTATAAAATCGGCCAGAGCCACGATGCATACGGCCACCAACACAACGGGATTGACAATGCAAATTACCACCAGTACACCCAACATGACCAGAGCCAAGTGTGTAAATTCTGACATGAAACGCGGCAAGCTTTCATCCATGGCGCCCATATCTTTGGAAAAACGATTTAAAATTCGTCCCGATGGATTTGTGTCGAAGAAGCGCATAGTTGCCTTGAGGATACTGGAAAACATGCGTTCGTGAAGAACTTTGGATGCATGCATACACGTTTTGAGGAAGAGATAGCAACGCAGTATGATCATCTGAAAAACGATATGCGTCAAATATTACAATTTGAATTATCTTATTATTGCTTAATGGACTTACAATAACCACAGCAGCTATAAGAACGCTGTAAATGATAAGACATATATCTTGGCTTATTGCAGTTTCTTGATTTAGACTGTCCATGAAAATTATTTTGGTGTAGATATTCACAAAGTAATCGGCTCCACTACATATAGCCTGAGATACAATTAATATGATGGTAATGCCCAATAGGCCAGCAATACTGTTTCCAGCATGGAAGTATTCCCACCAAACAGAAGCTTTGACCGTGCCTTTACCCTGGTCTTCGGCTTCCAATTGATCGATTTCTGTATTCAATTCTGTTAGCTGAAAAAATAATCAGAATCATAATAGCCGGCATTAAGATAGTTGGCAAAAATCAACCTACCGATTTATTACAGACATTTTGTAAGGGCTTAGTTGTTCCATTCGGTGTAAGCCCATCGTGTTGTTCATCTACTTCTGGTGCATAATTTTGATGCATTTCGGCGGCTACATGATCAACATCACTACACTTCCAGTTGCAATCCGACAGCAGTCCTTTCATTTCTTCAAAATTACCTGTTGCTGTAATTTTGCCATCTTCAACCAGAACTATGTAGTTCGCCTGATCTAGATATTGTATTTGATGAGTAATTAAAATACGCGTCTTATCACGCAGCAGCAGAGAATTAGGTCCCATAACATTGTTGAAAATCTCACGACCAACATGAGCATCCACAGCACTTAAAGGATCATCAAACAGATATATAGAAGCTTTGTTGTTGTACACAGCTCTTGCTAAATTGACTCGAGCCTTTTGGCCTCCCGACAATGAAGCGCCACCTTCTCCCACCAATGTGGCATCGCCATAACGCAATTGTTTGAAATCTTCAGAGAGGGCACAGGCCTCAATGACTTTCTGGTAACGATCCAAATCTTCCACTTCGCCAAATATAATATTATTTTTTACGGAAACGGGAAAGAGCCATGATTCCTGGGAGGCATATGATATTCCACCATCGATTTTGACACTGCCGCTTTCACAGCCTAATTCATTCAAAATGACTTGAAAAATAGAACTCTGAGAAAGAGACAAAATTAGAACCTCCTTAAGAATATCCTTGGGGTTAATTCATTCTTACCTTTCCTGCTCCAACTGGTCCAACAATAGCACATAGACCCTGCCTAGGTATGTTCAAACTTATATCGGACAATGTTATTTTAGCTGGTTCCCGAATATGCAACAATTTCAAATTATCTTCACTTATTTTAATCGATACGGATGTGTCTGGGCCGGTGCTTACGCATGTATTCCATGAAGCTGTGACATGCTCAAGTTCTATGGCATTATCAGAATGAGGCCTTTCCCTGAGAGAGGTTTCGTCCTTCTCCTTGTGCATTAGAAAATTTTCAATGCGATCAAGTGATGTAAAGGCCTCTGCTGCAAAGGATATACCCATGGGACAAAATATTCCAGCAACCAATTGAAATACATGGTACAAATTTGCCATGGCGAATATAATATCTGCGGACATGACCGCTCCCATTTGAACGGCAGCAACAATGGTTATGAACAATGTTAAACGTTCCGGTAATATCATGCTGCTCAAATAGAAGCTGCGCAAATAAGCAGCACGACGCGTCTCCAAGATTTCCAGACGTCTAGCCTCCTTTACCTCCTTTTCGAAGGATTTCTCCCAGGAGTACATTTTAATTACTTGTATTCCACGAATCAATTCGTTCATTTTTCTAATGCGATCATCGGTGCGCTCAGCAATTCGTAGCCTAAGTCTGGCAGTCCATTTGCTGAGGCTAAGTTGTACGGGTATTGTTTGCAGTAGGAGGGCCACAACACCCACAATGGCTGCATATCCTACACGAACCCAGATCAGGTAGCCAATGAGCACAGTTTGTATGGGTAATATCCATAGATAGTGGGCAAAAACAAAACCGATGTCCAGACGATTTACATCATTGGATATTAAATTGACAATGTGGCCCACAGAGATATCTCCAGCTGTTTTCAGTGATAGCTTCGAGGCCTGAAAAGTAGTATATAAACCATATAAAAGTGTTAGTGTTAATTTATTTTTGTGATGCACCCACCTTTCTAAATATCAAGGAACAACAGGCTATTCTCATTTTGGCACCCATACGTTTTTGTCGTTGGTCCACATGATGGTTCATAAAGCAACCGAAAAATGTAAGACCCACCAAGAGGCCACCCAAGCAGTAAGGGTTATGCCATACCCATGTTAAATAATACCAAAACCATAGCTGATTGTTGTCATGCGCTTCTTTAGACGATAGGGTGTTGTTATCATTGAAATCGGTTGAGTTTTCAATAGTCCCATTGAAACCATTAATGGGATCTTTATAGGCTTTCGGTAGCTCGATGAGAAGTTGTGCCAAAAACAAAGGAATTAGAGACCTGTAGAGCAAACATTCCTGTTTATAGTGTGTCCTTTTGACTTTAACAAAATTTACTTACTTCAACATTATGTACAGAAAACAGACAATTCCATCTGTAACAGCCAATGTCCAAAATGTTTTCCATACTGCCTTTCTTAGTTTAGGTTTTCGCTTTGATCTATTGGCCTTTTCTAATTCTTTTAACCAATTTCTAAGATTTTTTAGAGAATTATTACGGGTTTTTAAAAAGTATTCAAATAAAAAGAACTAACCTTTCCAATTTGTCTCCCAGCATTTTAGAATCATCATCTGGTAGGCATTGGGGTAAATCAGCTTCTTTTAGGCCATTTTTACAGCCTTTATAAAGCAAAGGTATTATCCAAACGAATAACAACTGTGAGAAAAGGCCAGCTTTTAAACGAGGATTAACTTCCTTGGGTTTCACAGTATTGTACATTTTGAAAGATTCTGGAAAAAGAGGGTTTCAAATAAGCATGAATTGAAGCTAATGTGGAACTAAATAAATGTGCATTAAAAAAAAGAGTATGTTGTTATAAACTATATTCTTATTAGAATTTGTAGGAGTAATAAAAATGACCTTAATGGTTTATATTATGAATAAATATATTGATTTATTGATATATATTTATTTATTAATTATGTATTAATATCTTAAATTGAGAACAATCTTTCTTTCTTGGTCATAGTAAAATGAAGGGGTATTTCCCGATATGATAAATTTATATGAATCAACATTCGTAAATATGTTCAGATCGAAAGTATGAACAAAGACTGGGCTTGGTTGTCGTTTGATAGATCTAGAGAAAATATTAAAGTGCGACTTTGTTAATTACATGTACCCACTCTATTACTGTGATTCATTCTTACATCTTTATATGGTCTTTGTATTTTTTTATGTAATAAAAATGGGAAGTTAGACTATGTGCATATAATAAAACGATATATCCTTTAAGTGGCCTAGACATAATTTTTTTTTTCACTCCTTAACCATCTCAATATTTCTGAATATTTCAGATTTATATTTGGTAAGAAGCCCCATATGAGTAACATATATTTATGAGCAAGTATACATGAAAATCAATGTGGTGGTTTACATTTTTATTTAAATTAATTCATGTTACTTACTTATTTGTAATATGTTTAGAAAAATAAAAACAATATCAACAATTACCTCTTTTATATGGAATACGAAAATATACCAGTATTTAAAATGAAAAGTCTTCAAATTTAAATCAATGATTTAAAAAAGCCAATTTTTCCCTTCGTTAGTAAATCTCTTTTGTTTACCGCCGCCAAAGCCAAGAGCGCCAACAGACACTGAGGCGCCAACAATAATTCATTTGCTTTGTAATAATCTGATTGTTCTCCTGACGTTTCGCCACCTCGCTCAAACAATTCATTTATAATTTGTATTTCACTTTTTTTTAATATATCACTTGACTATTATTGTATTATGTTTAAATAGTTCAATTAAATTTGATTTCTTTGTTTTTTGTTGTGTTCGTCGTTTCGTTTCTTTGCTGATGTGAAATCACTTTCTTTCGTTGCTACACATCCGACGCTGTTGGTATTTGTTTAGATCGACAAATTCTTATTCGTTGTACACACCGTTTGAAAATAACTGATCATTGCATTTGTGCCTTCGCTTATATAGGGTACGATTGGATACTGGGGGCTTATCCCTATGTTTACTCTCGCCAAATTCCCTCTGAGGTGTCTCATAAATAAGAGAATAAAATATTCATTTTAGATTATTTATGATGTTCTCTTGGTAAGAAGGTTCTACCCTTACTTTACATTTCTGAAAGGCAAGACATTTTTTTGTTGCTGATGCATTTTGGCGGGAGATTTTAATAAGTAGTTTTAGAATTGTTTTTATTTTTTTAATTTTACAAACACAAACTAAGGGGTTATCCCTAAATACTTTTTAATTCTTAATATTAAAGCATGTTGAATATTTTACATATATACATGTGGGACTGACCCTTTTTATACTTCGCAATGTGTTGTAAAATTGGCACTCAATTTTATAGAATTGTAAATCTATAAACAATTTAAGGGAATAACCCCTTACATTTTCTTCTTAATACTAATGCAAGATCTATATATGAATTTTGTATATACAAATTTCGGAATAAATAGAAATTTGAACCCTTAATCCTAAAGAATTGTAGATCTCTAAAGAATTTCGTAAGATAAATTTGCATAGGATGGGGAAAGCATGATTGAAATATAGTAGATTAGGACAATGACATTCGGATCGATCCCACAACTTTGGGTCTACAAGTTCGGACACTCACGTCATTCTAGTTTGTATCAATGATGCTACAAAAACATCATTAGATTACATTTTTTATACCAGAAGCTGTTGTAAATATTAAATTTATCATTTCATTTGCAAGATCTCAAATATTCATCGGAGACGATATAGGTCACAAAATTTTAGATCGAGCATTGACAATTTGTACATTACTTTTATTCCTAGAATGTTTACAAATGGGATATATTGGTCCACGTTTTGGTAACTCCTACCATTTCAGAGATGCCCTTTCTATTGAATTTTTGTAATTCAACATTCCGGGTCCTTGGAGGTTGAAAACAGGACATTTTGAATATAGGTCAATATAGCCTCCATATAAATATCATTACCCTTTTTAAGTATACTGGACGTTTTTTTTCAAAAAACGTAATGCCCACTTCCCGGAGGATTTAAAAAGTTTCACATATTATTATTTTCCTTATTTTGTCCCTTTTATTACAAAATGTTACCTTCCATTTTCCATATTTTTCACAGTTAAAATAAGCCAAACAACTTATTGTTTTTATTCTGATAAAAGAGGCTACAAGTTCGAGTTTTATTTTTTTCTTCATATTTCAAACATATCCTTCCTTTTAGTACTAACTAATCATACTTAGTTATGTACTTATTTTCGACGCTTCATGTATGATTTCAATTTTCTATTTTGACATATAATGTCCGTTGTTATTAAAGAATACTAACAGCTGTTTAATCAGCTGTTGATTTTTCTCAAGTCTTTTTAAAGGGTTATATAGTTCTCTATTCGCATTTAGTTTCAACAATTAAATTATTTCTTTCTCATTCATTATTTTGGTCTGTTCCCGTACTCATTAACAGGTACAGAATTAAAAAAATAATAATAAAAAGGAGGCATTGACATAATATTCTTGTAGTTTCGAGAATTTAGCAATTAAATTATTTCCTTTTTCATTTTCTATCAATCAAATATAAAAAATTTCGATAAAAAAGTCGACTTTTATATCCCTTGCACGCCATTAATTTCGCGCCGTTATTTCTCACAGTTACTCGTAATCTATTCGGTTCTGTCTATTTGTCCAATCTATTTGTTCTTGGTTTGATTATTTTGAAAATCAAGTTAAGTTTTGCTTAAAAATGGATGAAAAGTCCAATAAACCATCGCCAAATGTCGACGACGATGAAAAGCCCAGTTGCAGTAAGAAGGAAACCCAAAAGCAACAGGAGGACGAGGATTTGGCCAACATCGTCACAGCCGAAGAATATTTGATGCGCAAGGATGTGGTACTACTCGATTATGAGAAGCAAATGTTTCTGGACATGGTTCATGCTGATGCACTGCTGGTATGTGCCAAGTAAGTCTGGTGCATGTGTAAACCACACTGAAACTAATTGGAAATATTTATGCATTTCCAGGGGCTTATCTTATGAACGTGTCTTATTGAATATACTAAAGGCCTACAGCGATGCCGGTAATTTGATTTTGGTCATCAACAGTTCTGACTGGGAAGAGGAGTACTACAAGAATAGATTGGATATGAAATATATACATGAGGTAGCAAATACGGCCACGGAACGGTATGTACAGACCAACTTATTGTACTTCCTTCGAATTACACAATGCTGAATATTTGTCCTCTCAGTGAAAAAGTTTACCTCGAAGGAGGCATACAATTTATAACCACTCGCATACTGGTTGTTGATCTCTTGAAACAAAGAATTCCCGTAGAACTGATAACGGGCATAGTGGTGTTAAGGGCTCACACCATCATCGAGTCTTGCCAAGAAGCCTTTGCTTTGCGACTCTATCGTCAACGCAATAAAACCGGATTCATCAAAGCCTTCTCCTCCAGTGCAGAGGCTTTTACCATTGGCTTTGGTCATATTGAACGTATAATGCGTAACCTATTTGTAAAAGAGCTTTTCATTTGGCCACGTTTCCATGCCTTGGTACAGGCTTCTTTAAAACCATACGAGGCGCAGACCATCGAATTACATGTACCCTTGACGGAGAAGATGAAACTGATGCAAACTCAAATTTTGGATATCATGAATTATTTGGTGAAGGAAATAAAACGCATCAATCGTACTGTGGATATGGAGGAAATCACAGTGGAGAATTGTGTAACCAAAAAGTTCCATAAAATTTTGCAGGCTCAGTTGGATAGTATCTGGCATCAACTTAATTCCCAAACTAAATTAATAGTGGCAGATTTAAAAATTCTAAGGAGTCTCATGATGTATGTATTAACTATGGGCTTGGCATAAAAATTATTAAAGGTCGGTTTCCTTTCTTTTGAATTCTGTAGTTCGACTATGTACAATGATGCTGTAAGTTCGTATGCCCTTATCAAACGCTACAGAACAAAGGAGTATGCTTTGAGCAATTCTGGTTGGACATTACTAGATTCTGCCGAACAAATATTTACATTGTCCAAAGATAGAGTGTATAATGGACAAGGTGGTATGTATTTTAAAAATTGTGTGCACTTTTCTACTTCAAAGTATTAAATAAATATATTTCTTTTTAGAATTTGATCCTGAACATTGCCCCAAATGGAAGTTTCTTAGCGAAATTTTAAAAGTGGAAATTCCCGCCGATATGAAACGCACCAAACCCGATAGTTATGATCCTCCAAAAGTGCTTATTCTTTGCCAAGATTCTCGCACATGTTACCAACTGAAACAGTACCTAACTCAAAGTGGCGAGCGTTATCTTCTCTACACAGCCATGAGAGAACAAATTCCAGTCGGTAAACTAGCCAAAGCATTTGACAAGATTCAGGCAGGAAAAGAACTTGAATTCTCATTGGCACAAGACCAGTCACAGACCCAAAGAAATTCCATCAAGTCTGAGAGAAAAGATATGCCTGATGATGGTGATGATGTGACTAACTCCACACAATTGGATGAGTTGACACAGCTCTTGATGACGAACGATGCGGATGATCATTTACAATATTTTCAGGAGAGTTATATGCTGACCATGACACAAACACAATTTGATGAGTCCGATTTAACGCTAATGAACGATAGTGGCACAGGCGTAGAGGATAATGTTGACAATTCAATATTTGAGCCGTTTCCAGAACTGGAAAATTTAGATATTACAGCTGCGGTGGCAGCTCAGAAACAACCTTTAATTTGCTTGCAAACATTCAAAACAGATAGAGAAGGGTCGACAGTTTTGGATCGTGTACTAGAGGAAATAAATCCCCAATATGTTATCATGTATCACTGCAATGTCACTGCCATTCGACAGTTGGAAATATATGAGGCACGCCAAAGGCGTCCTGCCAAGGACAGATTGAAAGTTTTCTTTTTGATACATGCACGAACCGTCGAAGAGCAGGCATATCTAACCAGTCTACGAAGGGAGAAACAGGCTTTCGAATATATTATAGAGACCAAAAGTGTAAGTATTGTATAGAAATCAAAGGAAATGTTTATTTCATTGGCCTGTATTATTAGAAAATGGTTATTCCCGAATATCAAGACGGCAAATCAGATGAAGCATTTAATTTATATAAAGCCTACAAACATCCTGAGGATAGTGTAGAGTCTGCCAATGCTCAAAGTCGTAAAGCTGGTGGCCAAGTTTGTAAACAAGCAGAGGAAGTACCTAATCCAAAAGTGATTGTTGATATGCGAGAGTTCCGCTCGGACTTGCCCTGCTTACTACATAAAAGAGGTTTAGAAGTTGTGCCAGTGACAATAACGGTAAGACTAAGAATTGTTTTTATTTACCGAAGACATTGATATAAGTTTTATCTTCATTTTAGATCGGTGATTACATCCTTACCCCTGAAATTTGTGTGGAACGTAAATCAATATCAGATTTAATTGGTTCTCTTAACTCTGGTCGTTTGTACAACCAATGCATACAAATGCAACGTTATTATGCCAAACCTATACTCCTGATAGAGTTTGATCAGAATAAGCCATTCCATTTGCAGGGTAAATATATGATTTCCCAGAACACTGCTACCACCAATTCCGATATAATGCGAAAACTGCAATTACTTACCCTGCATTTTCCAAAATTGCGTCTAATATGGTCGCCAAGTCCATATGCCACAGCTCAATTGTTTGAGGAATTAAAATTGGGTAAGCCGGAACCAGATCCCAAGCATGCAGCTTCATTAGGTGCCGACGATACGGGAGCCTATGATGATTTGAAATTCAATGCTAATATTTATGATTTTTTACTGAAATTACCTGGTGTTAATACGAGAAATATCCATAAGTTAATGCGGCATGGAGGCAGCCTCAAGGAATTGTTAAAGAAATCTCAGGTGAGAAAGACAAAAAACTGAATAATAAGAGTTGGAAGTTGAATACATGTATGTTTTTTTTTTAATTTCAGAACGAACTTGCAGATTTTTTGGATTCAAAAGAAAATGGAAAATTATTATGGGACATCCTGCATGTGGCTCATTTACCGGAAAAAGATGAAGTGTCTGGCTCTTCAGCCTTATTGGCTTCAAGCAAACAAATGGGAGCCCATTCACGTTTTCGACGTGGTGCGGCAGCCAATGTAGGCAGTCGTGGCGGTATTTTGCGCAAATTTAAGAATTAAGGTTAATAATTTCATAGTAATTACTTCATAGTTAGTAGTTAATTATTAGTTAGTTTAATGCAACATGATGTAGTTTTAATTCATATTTATTGTTTTCATCTTATTTATTCTAGTTTTAAATTATACGCTTAACAAGATCAAATTCCTGATAATAATATAATGCAAACCAATATATATATATATACTATACAAAAGCAAAATACCTCGGATATGAAATAAAATTACACAGAAACGGGGAATCGTACGGGCACGTTCTGGACCACACTGTAAGTTTATTACCCTTTACGTGATTTGTAATTTCCAATTTGTATACAAATGTAGAGATTTTACAGGAAAACGTAAGCACACATAATCAGTTCGATCATGAATATCAGTATGGGTTCTTCCTATCATGAATAATTTGAGAAAAAATATATTGCAATATGGTATCACTAATCAGAGTTTTAGCATATTGTGTACAATAGTAAATTATTGTATACGCTTCCCTCTAAATTTGTTGAAAAATAGTTTTTTGCTAACACCCTTCAGCTTTGTAAGGGAGCTACTTGTATAGTAAAATACAAGTTTGAGAGCGTTCGTGATACCAATTTTTCTCCTTGAGGATTTTTGTTCATGATAGAAGGAAAATAAAAATAAAGAAATTTCTTACGGAATTGTTATTCATGATTGGGCTGAATTTATTGGCAAAACAATAACTATTTCATCGGGTGTAATAATACTCTCCTGGAGTATTTAATTTGGTTCTATTGGTGGAGGGTTTTTAAAAAATCCACATATATTGATTCCCAAAAATTGTTGATGAAGCGAAAGTTCTATTGGTAAAATAAGGTTTGTTTTCTAATCATTTCTTAATTATCTCTAAAAGGAATAGTGCCTCTTAGCGACATATTGTTAATCATAATGTATCATCTTATTTGGCCTGAAGGCTTTGTAATTGTAAATTATTACAATAAGAGTTAAATACAAATACACATTTATCATTCTGCACACATCAATTACATTGAAATACTGGCTTTAACATATTTGAAATTCCTTATGACAGTTTTTATATAAGTTCGTATGTAATGTGTATTTACTTCTATGTGTGGGTGTTTTAGTTGTCTCACCAATTTCACACTAATCAAGTATAACGATATTTCAAAGTGTAAATGACAGAAGCTTTCACTATTGTTGAGTGATAAATTGCAATTACATTTTGCATACGACAGTGATCTAATTAATATGATGTTTTATATATATGATTTAAAAACACCATATTTTTCGAAAACAGGATTTGCAGATTTGTTAATTTTTTCTCTAATAATTTTTTTACATAAATGAATTTTTCGATTTATTTCCATCTTTTGCATTTCTAAGTACTGTGCTCATCTATGTACACACAAATGTATACTTATTTCTGATGAGTTCAACATTTTTAGTTTTTATATCGAAATTCCTTGTAAATTACTTTTGGAATTTGGTAAATATTTCAATTATGTGTTTGTGTTAATATTAATTTGGCAAGCTAGCTAGTATGAAATTCGATTTGAATTTTAATTAAAGAGTAAATATTTAAAGGAATAACAACATAAGCAATAAAAATCAACCTTACTCATGCAATGGAATCTTTGCATGCAATAATGTAAATTAAACACTTTATAATATGCAGGACAATTGCACTGATCTCCCATCCAACATTGTCCTCTCTTCCTCGGACCTACACCCCGCCAGTCATACCACTTAACGTGAGTATTAAAGAAACACTTGAGCATCCATTAAAAGTTCTTTGTTTGAGGTTTATTGTCGTGTCATTGTCAGTAAGGTTTCTGTTGCTTCCTTTTGGTAGTCGGTTGTATAATAGAATTAATTATGCTTGAGTTTGTCTACTAGAGTACGAGCGACAGTCAGATTGAGGGGGCGAGGGTTAGATTGCTGGAACTCAGTAATGGTACAACAGAATTCGTTCGTTCGTTTGTCATCATCCGTTGTCCATTGCTACGTGTAATTTGATTAATTAACGCCTAAATGTATGCAGACAGTTTTACTCAAACACAAATTCTGATTTTACTTTCAATGTTCTCCCATGCCCAGTGGTTATTTTGTGCTTTGCTACATACAATAACATCGATGAGTTGCTGATTTCAAACAATTGCTGATGTTGCCATGCATTTTTTTCTATCCAACCATTTTCCTTTTATGCTATTTGTGTGTGTGTGTGTGTTTTTTCTTCTGTTTTGGTATTTATTGCGGTTTAAATCTAACATTTCCTGTATCCGTTGGCAACAGCTTTGATACTGCTGTTTAACAACATCCACTTAGTGATGGACACTTTGATAATGGCATCATCGTGTCCCTTGATTCGTTGTGTGCCTGTGTCTATTTTCCCCTTTTGGTGTTTTGTTTTCTACGCTTTGTTTACATATAATGGATGGCAGGGGAACCCGCCATAGTAAAACAGCTAGATTTCAATGACTTTCAATAGGATTTGTGGTGGGGATTTTATTTGTAGTGCGTATATACATATAGAATACTGCAATATATATTTTTTGCTTGATTTTACACAAGAAGGATTTGCATTTATTTGAACTAGGATTATGTCCAGAACGTTTAACGAATGACCAAAAATGGATCAAATGTTTTTTTTTTTTAATTTTGGGTCTAAACTTTGACATATGATTGAAATGGTAACGGTTCGCTGTTTTGGAAATTAAATTTAAAATGGAGAGTATATACTTTAGCTGAAATGGATAAAATAAATTTATTCTGATCGTATTAAACCACAATAAAAGTCTTTTTCCTTGTTAATACCTGCAAGAATGCTAAAAGTGGGAGATAGGTTCTTGAACCCGAGCAATAATTGGATATATTATTTAATACAAATCTCATGTGAATAATTTTCTTTCTTTTACAATATAAGAGTGATCGTTTCAATTTATTTACCTGTATTTATCTTTAATATGGTTGATATGTTTTTATTTTACCCCTTTGCTTCCGCAGAATTGCATGTCTCATTTGCCCTTTAAAACCACAATTGTATGGGTAACATTTGCATTGGTGTCCATCTTCATTTGCATGTACATTCAGTTTCCATTAGTGATTTTTATTTTTTAAACTTGTTTTCTTTATCCTCGTAATTCGGATGGATATCAACCACAAAAGGTTAGCTTCTATTAAAATGACATTTGAGTTTTTTTAATTGTATGTTTAATCAAAGTTTGGGATGGTTTGTAATTCCTATTCAATGGGCAGACAATGTGAGAAGCACGAAATACAATTAAATCTTAGTGTGTTAATTATTTTAAGTGTAGTTACCGAGAAAAGTCAGAAATATGGTTTCAAAATATTTGATTATTTCTTTGGAACACACTTAAATAAAACTGAAAACTGCAGTACCAGCCATCCCCCCGTTTTAAATTTCTTAAATAATTTGAATTTAATTATAGTTTTGTTTATATAAAAAATACCTTGTAGCCACTGTATGCTCGTGTGTGTTGGATTCACACATTACAATGTAACAACCATGGAAATGTTTTCCGTTACACTTTTCAGTTCGCCCAAAGAATAGCAAGCCGTTTGAAAGGATCGCTTCGAAATGTTTTCTTTTTCTCGTGGCCGTTGCTTTTTTTCTTCTACTTGTTGTTTAACAAAATTAAACAAATTCCATATGGTCTTGGCTTGGCCTAGGACAGCCGTTTCATTTTCCACATTAAATGAATGCAGGTTACACTAGCAAGTGGTTGCATGTGTGACTTTAGTTCCGTGTGTTGTTGCGACTCTGAGAGTTACCGGGCTGCAAGTCTGCTTCTATTTGGTGGTAGTGTGTGTGTGTGTGTGTGGAAGCTAAAAGAGGATATAATTCAATTTGTTTTAAAACTCTGCTAAAAGTATGCCAAGGTATGTTTAAAGAATGTAAATTAGCTAATTAAATATGGGGAAGTTGAAAATATTTAAGCATGAGAGAGCACGAATTGGTCATGGAGTTTTAATATTTAAATTTTATGGGAAATAAAATATATTTCTAATTTTTTATAAATTAAAAGAAAATGTGCTATGATTTTTCTTGAAAATTGTGTAAAAGAGTGAAATGACAAAATTATTATGAGAGTAATACAAGTATAGGATATAACTTTCATAACTTAAAAATATTTTGAAAAGTTATTACACACTTTTAGGCTTCAAATGGAATATTTCCAACTTTTTTATTTTTAAATTATTTTTGGGAACATGAAAAAACATTGTTTAAAGATATTTTATTGTTTTTGTAAAGAAAAAATATTTTTCGTGTTTTTCCAAGGATTTTTATAAAGAATATATTCAAGGACCATTGAGATATTAAGTTGTAATAAAATATTTCCAGCTGCATTTGTGATTGAGTATGGAAACATTTCCCTAAATTCCATTAAAGCTAAAATGTTAAATATGACACCATAATCATAATCTTCTGTGATCTCGATTAACCAAAAGTCATTTAGCTGTTGGTAGGAAAATCTAAATAAACATTAAAAGCAAAAGTGCAAAGAAAATGTCTTAACATTAAGAACAACAAAAATAAAAACACAAAGATAGAAATGTAAACAGTAAAACAAATAAAATAGAACAACAAAACGTAATATTGCGAACTTATCGATGTCGTTGTTTGTCTTCTATTTTCCCACAGGCCGTAACGATTATCACACTTTTACTCATTACCACTCTGTAATAAATGCTATCTGAAAGTGCCATCTTAAATGGCTCAAAGGCAAGGCAATCACTGGCAATATAAATGTAAACAAACCCACACATACACGTTACAGTACGTGTACATTCAACCAACCCACAAGGAAATGCTTTCTTGTATTTTGTTCCTGCCGAAGAAATGAAGGAAATGGAGAGAAACATGTACTGTCAAAGGACTACGATTATGGTTGCGAAGTCAAGTCCCTAAAAGTAGGCAATTTTATACTCGAGAAAGTTTAAAGCTATTACATTTTTTATGTAGGGGAGAATTTCAATTTAAGAGCACCATATACATCAGCAATTGA